AGGCTATTATTACTTACTATATCCTTTTCGAAATTTATTTCCAGTTCTTTTCATCCAAATTTATACTTTGCCTACATTCCGTTACTTTTACGGGCATTTTAATTCAATTCCACTTTTATTTGTCGTTTAATATCTAATTGTACCGATTTTATTTTAGTATCCGAAATTATTAGTTTCGGGCTTCGTGATTCGGATAATTAAAACATAAATAAATAAAAATGTTGTCTACAATCAGTAAGTATTTATATTATCAATCTAACAGTTGTTTCAAAAACGATCTCCGTATTTTATTGTGCTACATTATTTTTTGGCCATGCTTAGATATTATACAAATTTAGGTCAATAGCTATGAGAATTCCGGTTTTCAATTATTTGTATGTAGTGGGTTAGTCAATAAATTATCACTTTATTACATTAAATGGCTTGCATCCTGCATTTTCTGTTATTAATAAACATTAATTCATACATTTGTGAATAGTTTCTTTTATTTCAGATTTATTGTTAAATTATTTATATTAGGATTTCTCTAAAGTATATTTTTAAAAACATGTATTACATTCTGATCATTTGTATAAAGTATAATTGTTTTACCACTTAACATACAAGTAATAAGTGAACAACAATAGAATATCTTTAGAGTGAATCCCTTGTCCGATGGGAGAGAAAAAAAAGATATCCAATAGGAGGGAAAAAAAAGATAAACAACATTTGAGTGAACTGCTCATACGGAAATATTAATATTATAATTCTTTTCTTTCTTCCCTTTATCTGCAATTAGCTTTGAAGCTTTAATCAGATTCTATATCTTAATGCCGTATCTATGGCAGGGTAGGCAGAGAGGAGTGAATGCCACAGTGTACAGTCCTTACATACATCTTTGCCTCGTCCCCTTTCATTACTCTTATCATACATACTCGCCAGTTTTTATGGCTTCTGACATCACCTTCTAACAGCACATGATTTGATAGAGAAAGGTGTGATATCCATATTTACGTTGGGTCAAATATCAGGTACCACAAATGTAATGGTGTGTTAATTTTTCACACATTATGTTACAAAAAACATGTACTTTTTTATATTCCCAATCTGTATACTTATTTTAGCCATTCTCCTTGTATTTCTTATTTAATTACAAAATATCTTTGTTTTCCAGCTCGTTTAAGTTCCATATTACCTCTTAGAATAGCGTACAGTACTGCAGTGGAGTCAGTGAAACCAAAAACTGCCATAGTAATGCTTAATATGGGTGGACCGCAGACTACAGACCAGGTATGATTATTAAAATTAAAACAGCTTTATTACAGAGACCGTCTAAGAACCTCACTGACTGAATTACTACTGATTCATTTTTAAATGCAAAATGAATCATCGTCAGCCCTTTTGCGTCCCTACTGCAGGGACTCAGACCTTCCTTATGGATGGTTAAGGAGGATGGGCCAGGACCCTCAATGCTGACCCAACGCGGATTGGAGGGTATTAACGACTGCAAATGCAACCGGGACCAACGGTTTAACGTGCTTTCCGAAGCACGGAGTAGCTCGATTTAATAATTTTTCACCATCCATCCTTTGACCCACCCTTGCGAAAGTTGCTTGATAAGAACGAGCGCGGGTCGCGACGCTCGCCATCGAGCTACTAATATGACTATGGCAAAATTATTTTAAGCTCATAACAGACCGTTAAAATGCTATATGATTTAATTTTATGGTTTCATCCTGTTTCATCCTGAGGGAGCTGCCACCCCAGCTTCTCCAGGAAGCCTATACGTCCTTTAACTTTGCCGCATGCCTCCTTTAATGTCCGTAAACTACTTAGATGTGTAGTCCTATGTCTCGAAACGCCCTTGCAATCCAGTAGCACGTGAGTGCTTGTCTCTTCAGCATTCAGGCATGCCCTGCTCATAACTGTCAGATCTATTCATGTTATATAGGTGCTTGTTAAAATAGCCATGTCCAGTTGGTATACCTACTATTAGACTTACCGTTTGTCTAGGTAGTTTGTTTAACTTACGTGCCAATTGCTCATCTACCTTGGTGATTGCTTCTTCGGCTTGCCTGCAGTCAGTCTTTTGAGTCCAGTATTCGTCATGTTGTTGATAACAGCGTTCTCTTACCCAGTTTCTCAGCTGTCGAAATGGAATGGGTATAATGGGTTCCGGCCGGATGGGCTTTCGGCTTGACCCTTATCTGGCCAAGCTGTCTGCCGCGTCATTACCCCTCTACCCGCTGTGCCCCTTGAACCATTGTAAAGTCAGTTTATTTACATACCTCTGCCAATTTACAGTGACATTCGTGTATTGGACCTGATGTCATCAAGTTGTTTAAAGCTTGTAGTACTGATGCACTGTCAGAGTTAAACTCATATTTTTACCTCTTACTCTCCGGCTTGTAATTAATTCAGCAGCCCTTATTCTACCCACGCATTCTGACTGGAATACTGTGTTCCCAGTGCTGTGGATTTGTGGATGTTTAGATCCTCCGAGAAGACATCAGCACTCGTATCTGTGTTAGTTTTAGAGCTATCCCTGAAGATTCTTAGCTCTTTGTGAAGGCAGGAATCTGGTGTGTCTTCGTAGAGTTGTATTTTATTTGCTTGGCAGCTTAAATTACTTAACATGAAATTATCTTAGTTGTGTGTGTTCGGCCATTGAAATGTATGATAGGCGAATTGAAATAGTCTTATATATATAATGGATTATTATCATTTCCAGGTTGGCGACTACCTTCATAGAATAATGACAGACAGAGATATGATACAATTACCTGTACAAAGTAGACTAGGACCGTGGATAGCAAGCAGGAGAACTGAAGAGGTGAAGAAGAAATATATGGAAATTGGGGGTGGGTCACCCATTTTAAAGTGGACCAACACCCAAGGTGATTTATTCATAAGAACATTGTTTATTAAATCAGCTTATTAAGGTACCTTCCATTTTTTATATATATTATTTATGTTAGATGAATTAAGGAGAGAAAATCCTCAAAGTCCCATTATTTCTTACAACAGCGGATAAACCTTATAAAGAAATATAGCTTTAAAAAAAAATCATCTTATTCCTTTAGATTGTAACGATAATTATCTCTAATGTTCTAAATATGAAAAAGTAACATTCTTAAGCCCCATTCTAGCCAACTAATATAAACTTCAATATAGTGTAATGAATTAAATATTTTACTTATATTGGGGATTCTGATCTCGATTCAGTTTTATCAAAAATCAATCTTTTTCAACTCGGATCTTCGATTTTTATCAACACATCGATTTCAAGATCGTCGCAAAACAAACAGATCGATAATCGATCTTTACTATTATCCATAAAGGATCTTATCCAATAAGAATTTATGTTTGATTTATCTCATTAAATTAGAAAATAATGGTTTATCTGTTTGTATTGTAATCCTTCTTTAATACCCCAATAATATAGATACAAAGGTTTTTGTAACGACATAAGGAGATTGAATTGATTTCTTATAGATCTACATATCTTTACATCATTGATTTTTTTCTAATCGATGTTAAGGGCTCCGATTGGAGTCGATCAGCAAGATCGATTTTTGGCTATAGATCAGAAACTCTTACATATATAATCATTCGTAGGTCAAATGTTGACGAGGGCACTAGATCAGATGTTGCCAGAGAGTGCTCCGCACAAACACTATGTAGCGTTTAGATATGTGCCACCATTCACCGAGGATGCTTTTAGTGAAATAGAGAGGTAAATAACGTGATCTCATCCTATTAATCCCCACCTATTAAGCTAGGACACAGATCTTCTATCGATGACATAGGACAACATGATGTCAAATTATCCTAGACTGTAATATATACTATGATTATCCTAGACTGGTCCAGTGTAAATTGGTGGGTGTTTACGGTTGCAAAGCAGCCGGGATTAATGGCTTATCGTACCTTTCAACGTGTATTCTGAAGCACAGAGGAGTGCGAGATAAATTTTTGGTAGCCCATCCTAGACCGGCCCTTGTGAAAGTTGCTTAACTTCTGCAATCGCATCGCAAACCGAACGTGCTAACTACAGCACTTTTGAGCTTCTACAAGAGAACTACAACAAACGAACAAAAGAATATTTTCGTTCCTTTTTTTGCACACCTTACACACTGAAGTTGAAGCGCAATGCAAACAAAGATGTCTGTATAACTGTACTATTCTTATTTAGCTCGTACAGTAAAATTCTTGATTAATAAATTTGTTCGTGTATAGGGACGGTGTAAGTAGGGTAGTTATATTCTCACAGTACCCGCAGTATAGCTGCGCTACGACTGGATCGAGTTTGAATGCCATAGCGGACTTCTATAAGAATAGGTAAGTTTCATATGATGAAACGTATATTTTTTTATAATAATAATAATAAATATTCTTTATTACACAATAGAACAGAGACGAATACACAAAAATCTTACACAAACATAGTGCAATAGGGCCTTATCGCTTGATAGCGATTTCTGCCAGGCAACCTAACTATGTACAGAAATTTAACAACTAAATTATCAGGATATTGTGCAAACGTAACACAAAGTAATTACGCAGACAAACAAAACTAAAGCTAGTATATGTTGAAATAACAAAACTAATAGGTGTACAAAGAGTGAAAGCTTACTAGCGACAACAAAAGTGCGACATCTGAGGGAGACAAGAGAGAATTTCATTCTCTCTTTTCTTGTTTTTAAGGCAGATTAATTTTCAGACAGGTATAAAGATTTTAGCAGCGATTTTCTTACGGAACTCTTATTAGTGCGTACATAAATTTTCAAAACATTGAAGGGTATTATTCTAACTGTATGACCTCTTAATGATAAACAACATGCATAATATACGAGTATTTGCAGTATCCATTTAGGATTTAATATAAAAAAACAGCATTCTTTTCCACGTTTTATTTTCCCGGGATATAAGTAGCTTATATGCTATTCTAAAGTCGCGATTGCAACTTACCATAAATAGCTAACGCATCACCTATACCTTTGAAGGGATTTTATTTTGGAATTAGACAATAAGCCTGTTGGTAATAAAATTTGTTTATAACATTTTTTATTTTTATTTGAATTCTAGGAAAGTTCCTGATAATATGAAATTCAGTATGATTGAGAGATGGTCTACACACCCACTCTTAGGCAAAGTTTTCGCGGAGAGAATTGAAGAGAAATTAGAGTTGTTCGATAGAAAAATTAGAGATGACGTTCTTATATTGTTCACAGCACACAGTTTACCCTTAAAGGTAAGCGATACTAGTTTTTATTCATATTCCGCCTATAATTAAAAATAATACAAAAATAGATAAATCTTTATTGAACCACTACTATCACTACATTATAAGTTATTGTAAAATACTTAATTGGTGTATAGAAAATAAAAAAATTACAACAAACAACGATTCGTACCATCGTACTAGAGTGTGAAGCAGTAGCCCAAGAGGTATACAGCTCAGTGTTGGATATGCCATATAGGAAACAGACACTGATTTTCAGCTTAACCCTAGCCGTCGTTTGGTCGCTAGCGTAAACAAAGTGAATGTGGAGTAATGATGAGTCCCTCACTCGCGAGGTGCCTCGTTTGAGTTCCTCATTTCGACAAAATGAGGTAGTACTCGTTTTTCAATTTTGAACCACCTCATTCAGCTCCTCACTTTTTGAGTGAGGAGCTAACTAGCCAGTTGTTTCGAATGAAAAGGCGACTCGATACTTAGGTACTCAATATATTCAAGATTGAGGGAATGGGTTAAGTTTTATGAGTTTTTTGGAACGATTCAGGTTTGTTTATGTGTTTCTTCGCAAATACGTATTTTATATTTTATAGAAAAGTGCTATTAATTAGTCTAAGTAAAAATCAAAGTTAATAAAAATATATCGGTTTTATTTAGAAATATATTTAAAATAATATAAATGATTGATCGATTTTAAAAATGGAACATTTGACACTATTAAAAATAAATTGCTGGTTGTGGTCATTCTGTTAAATAATAATCTAATTAAGTTTATTTCTTAGAATCTTAAAACAAAATATGTTTTGTTTAGTATTACAGACTCCCTCCCTCATTTTGTACTAAAAGGCAACATAACATTACCTATCCTCACCTCAAATGAGGGGTAACTCGCGAGCCCCTCACGAGGGAAAATGAGGTACTCACTAATCCTCATTAAAACAGAGTGAATAACACAACGCTAGTGTAGAGTAAGGGTATAGTGTAATTCCAATTCCAATGTATTATACAAATGATTCAACGTAATAAATATAAACAATAATAGATAAATATTATTACACTTGTTACGGACGCCTAATATATGACAATCGCCAAGTCAGCATCGACACCGATCAACAATGCACACGGCACCAGGCGGCACGAGGCGCAGCGTCAGCGGAACGTGACAGGCATTGCAACACCACCAGCGTTTCCGTCAAAATTAAATATTATAATTCATTTTTGTTTCACACTTCGAAGCATTATCATACTTTTCTTGTAATTCTTTTATAATTAAATTTAGTCTATTAAAATTTGCTTTTTTTTAAGACCTTCGGCTGCAGATAACTTATTTGGCGCAGTCGGTAGGATACTCGCGGGTCGGTTCGGGATCGCGTTTAGGAGAAAATTTCCGATTTCGCTAAAGAGCCGCCCGAGTGGCTTTCAAGTCGCGTAACGGGTATCGAATCTAAGGAAGCTGCAGACCAGAAGGGAATCCGAACATCGATTCGTTAAGAAGAAGCAATGCTGTAAGTCCTTGAATCTTTCAAGTCCTTGCCCTTATCCTTAAGATATATAATTATTTAATATACCTATATAATTATTTTATATATAAGTTACATTTTCTGTTCACAGTATAATATCTATTGTGATAATTCTTTTCTAATTGTGTTATACATTTTATTTTATTTTTCTGTGTGTTAAATTAAGTTACCAAAATTTTTCATCCACGTCAATTGCGTAAGATAGATAGGAGTAGTAGGATTAGAAGGCTTAATATTATAGACGAGAGTAGAGACATGAAGATAATATGGCGCAAAACGATATTGACGTAATTTATAAGTCCCTCCGACTTTTGCCTGAATTTGATGGCAACCCTCACGTTTTAACGAGGTTTATTAAACTATGTGATCAATTGGTACTAGCAAATTTTGATATCGCGCCGGGACATGACCTCGCGAATTTGGCTCTAATCAATGGCATATTAAATAAGATTACTGGCCCCGCGGCTCGATTTATAAACGCGAATGGCATCCCAGAAACATAGGACGGCATAAGATCTGCTTTAATTAATAACTTCGCAGACCATCGAGATGAGACCGCTCTATATAGTGACTTATCTTTACAATCTCAAGGGTCCAGTACACCTCAAGAATTTTATGAACGGTGTCAAAATTTATTTAGTACTATTATGACATACGTGTCGCTCCACGAAACAGTTTCTACCACAATAACGGCTAAACGTGAATTATATCAAAAGTTAACATTACAAGCTTACCTTAGAGGTCTAAAAGATCCATTAGGGTCCAGGATACGCTGTATGCGACCTGACACTATGGAAAAGGCATTAGAATACGTACAGGACGAATTGAACACTCTTTATTTACAAAGTCGCAACGAAGGTGGCCCAACAAGAAAGGACGGAGTTAATTTGCAACCTAATAATTATAATTTACCACTTAATAACTTTATTCCGAGACAATCGACATTTAACATGCCTAATATATCAGGACATTCTAGACAGCCTATATATAATTTGCCTGGTCCCTCTCGTCACCAGCCCATACAACCCCCTGTGCCAGGTTGGAGACCCAATAATACTTTAGTCCAACAACCCCGTAATATTACGCGTACTCAGCAAGTTTTCCGGGCTCCGCCACCTAACTATAACCCAAATAGTAACGTTTTTAGATTGCCTAATAAACCTCAGCCTCAGCAACAATCAACCCCACGTCCTATGAGTGGTGTAACCCCGTTCATACCAAAACCACTACCGCCTTCCGGTCGCGATTGGAGAATATATGGTAATCCACCCCCAAGCAACTACTTCAAAACGCGTGAGTTAAACATGAATGAATTTTATTACGACTATGACTATAATAACCATAACTATACCGACTATGAACAAGATGACTATTGTTATCCTACAGAACAATATTCTGACTACACTTATTACGATGACCCCTATACTTACCAAGACTCCCCTACTGTAGAAGAAATAAATCAAGCCCCAACTCCGACTGAAAATTTTCAGAAAGTATCCAAATCAGAAAAGCCCGTATAGAACTTAACTTCCATATACAACGCCAGTTAGGGTATATTCAGATTAGTAAACCCCCTTTAAAATTCTTAATTGATACCGGAGCTAATCAATCGTTTATTAGCCCTGAAGCTGTAAGTAAATATTTTAGTCATTTGCCTCTAAATTATGAACCGTTTGAAGTGACCAATGTCCACGGGACTAGTAAAAATGATCATTCTATTACTTTACCTTGTTTTCCTGAATTTAATGAGAAAAATGACATTACCTTATTCGTTTATAACTTTCATAATTATTTTGATGGCCTTTTAGGATTTGATTTACTAGAAACATGGGGATCAAAAATAGACCTTAAAAATAAATTATTATTAACTAGAAATGCACAGATACCAATAGAAATGTATGACTCTCGTAACGTAAATCTTTATGAAGAAATTATACCCGCCAATTCATCTAAATTAGTGAGACTTCCAATTAACACACTCGATGGTGACGTTTTTGTACCAAATCAGACTATTTGTAACTGTTTAATATCAGACTGTATAACTACTGTAAAAAATAATCGAGGATGGTTAGAAATTACTAATAGCACGCCATACGATGTCATCTTTTCTATGGATCGACCAGTACAAGCAGAATTATTTAACATTGAAATAGAAGGTATCGAAATTTCATCTGACCGTACCGAGGAAGTATTATCTCGTCTTCGCACTGACCACCTTAATCCAGAAGAACTTGCAAACTTGAAAAATCTTTGCGCGCGATATGCTGATGTGTTTTATCTTGAGGGCGAGCCATTAACGTTCACCAACAAAATCAAACACAAAATTCGAACAACTGATGAAATTCCGGTACATACTAAAAGCTACAGATACCCCTACGTCCATAGACAAGAAGTCAGAGATCAGATCAGTAAAATGCTCGAACAAAACATTATACGACCTTCCGATTCGGCCTGGAGCTCTCCTATATGGATTGTTCCTAAGAAATCAGACGCATCTGGTAAAGTTAAGTGGCGTCTTGTCATAGATTTTAGGAAAGTTAATGAGAAAACGTTTGACGATAAATACCCAATTCCCAATATTACTGATGTACTTGATAAACTTGGTAAATGCCAGTATTTCAGTACCCTAGACCTGGCTAGTGGCTTTTACCAAGTCGAAATGGATCCTAATGATATTCATAAAACTGCTTTTACCGTCGAAAATGGTCATTATGAATTTTTGCGAATGCCAATGGGTTTGAAGAATTCTCCATCAACTTTCCAACGAGTGATGGATAATGTTCTAAAGGACCTACAAAATCAAATCTGTCTAGTTTACTTGGACGATATTATCGTGTTCAGCACTTCATTACAGGAACATATAATAAATTTAGAAAAAGTTTTTTGTAAATTACGAGAATCTAACTTTAAAATCCAGATGGATAAATCTGAGTTTTTAAAGTTAGAAACTAGTTTTTTAGGTCACATAATCTGCAGAGACGGTGTTAAGCCTAATCCTGATAAAATAGCTGCTATTGAAAGATATCCTTTACCTAAAACTACCACTGAAATCAAACGTTTTCTCGGATTACTCGGTTATTATAGGAAATTCATCCCTAATTTCGCACGTCTAACCAAACCATTAACTCAATGTCTTAAAAAGGGTTCTAAAATCACATTAGATAAAAATTATATAGATTGCTTTGATCATTGTAAAACGCTTTTGACTAACGACCCCATATTACAGTATCCCGATTTTACAAAAGAATTTCTCCTCACAACTGATGCATCAAATGTTGCCATAGGCGCTGTCTTATCACAAGGTGTTATAGGCTCCGATAAACCAATCGCGTACGCGTCACGCACTTTGAACTCAAGCGAACTAAATTATAGCACCATCGAAAAAGAACTTTTGGCTATCGTTTGGGCAACCAAGTATTTTAGACCATATTTATTTGGCCGTAAATTTAAAATAATTACTGATCATAAGCCCCTTCAGTGGATTATGAATTTAAA